GCAACTGCTGCTGCAACTGACAGACAACTGCCTGTCAGGTATAGGAGGGGGGAGCATGTTTGAAGCCATAGGGATGCTGGGCCAGCAACTTTGCTTCACCACACAGGCAGTTGGCCACTCCTGATTTCCTCAACTGTCATTAGCTCTCTGTAGTCCCCTGTAACTGTTTTTATTTTTTTACCTCAGAACACTGAGATCTGCAGCTGACTGATTAAAGAGTGGGGGATGCAAGGAGGCAGCATCCTGGCAGCCACATAGAAATCAATGGGGGGAGCACATTTTACCCCTTTTGGCCCACTTAGTGGTTGAATTTCTAAAAATCCCTTCTTAGTGAGCATCTATGTCATGGTAGGAGCACTCTCCCTGAATCTGGTTTTTCTAGGTCCACCGGTTTGGCCTGGGCATTGATTTTATGGTGAGGGGACTTTCTTTTATATAGATGGATGGATGGATGGATGGATGGATGGATGGATGGATGGATGGATGGATGGATAGATGGATAGATGGATAGATGGATAGATAGATGGATGAGGGTCTTGAAAATTAGTGGCCTTTGCTTGGTTCCGGTTCCACTACGGCGCTGTGACGGGCGGCTCTTGGGAGCTCCCGAGCTGCCCAATTTTCTTATGTTCTTTTTGTTGCCCCCCCGGGTTTCGTGTGGGCTTTGCTTGGCTTCTCAGAGGGAGACCAAGTGGCAGGAGACTTTTTCCAGTTCCCCCCATCTCTGGCGAGGATGGGGGTGAGACAGGCTTCGCCTCGAAGCGAGAGCATTTGAAGAGCAGAGACATGGTCGCCATGTTCCTGCGTAACAGCGACCAGTCGTTTTAAGATTTCTACTTTTGAATTATATTCGACACATCACAGTGAAGAGTTTATTCTACACAGACTTAAGTTGAAACTAAGAGGGATTGACTATTATAACCCCCGTGGATATTCCCCTTTTGAAGAAAAAAAACAACGGCCGCAAAAGATATTTGCGAACAGAGAGTGACGAAGATGGATGGGGGTAAGAGACAGTTACTATTACAATTTCTGCTGAAAGAATTGTTGTTTCTCAAGAGCTGGGTGCACAGCGTATTAAAAGAACATTAAAAAGCAATGACCATGGAAATACCCATGAATGTGTTTATTTAAAGTTCATATATGTTGAAATGTTGGAATGAAGAAATGGAGTTGCTGGATCTTAATGAAGAGAAAGACCAGGATATAAAAGTTTGTGACTTAACTGTAGAACAATTTCGGATTTGTGAAGATTTTGATAGAAGAAGTGGGGAAAGCATTTAAATTAGCCTGTGAGAATCTATTGAGGGGTCCCCAGACTCTGTCTCTGGAGGTGAAAGATAATAAAGACCAATCACAATCAACGCAGAGGCTGGATGAAGTACAGGGACTTAACCAGGAGAGAGAGTTACTTGTTACTCAGCCTCTGCTTACAGAGGATGAGACTCAGGAGGATAATATCTCTAACAGCTCTTTGGAGGAAAAAAAAAAGCTGGAACCAGGAGTGACAAAAAACCCGCTGATAAATCCTTCTCGGAGAAAAAAGAAGAAGCCAACAGGGGAAAAAAAATAAAGGAAAGAGTAAAAAAGTGCAAGGTTTTCAAAAGACTAAAGCTTGACTTAAGGGAATATGGAAAAGTCAATTTGGAAATTGAACCACAGGAATAGGAAATTGAACCACAGGAATAGGAAATTGAACCACAGGAATAGGAAATTGAACCACAGGAATAGGAAATTGAACCACAGGAATAGGAAATTGAACCACAGGAATAGGAAATTGAACCACAGGAATAGGAAATTGAACCACAGGAATAGGAAATTGAACCACAGGAATAGGAAATTGAACCACAGGAATAGGAAATTGAACCACAGGAATACAAGGATTCACGACATCTAGAAGAGAATGAAAAGAGGAAAGATGCTATGGAGGGATGGGGGAAGAAAAAGATACAAAAAGTTATGCCTAATGTGTAATTTGCTTGTTTGATATAAATGGCTGATGTAAAAAGGAAATGAAATGCGGTGTTATTGTAATGGGATGCATTTCACTAGTTGCATGCCAATAGGTTCTCCGCTGCTTGATACTCTAAAAATATTTGGGGGGGGGGGTTGGGGTTTTTTTTCTTTCTCTTGTACTGTTTAAGGTATGTATTCTACTTGTTTTGTTATAATGAATGAGTAAGTTAAATATTGCAGGTGATTGATATTTGAATATTTTAATTGAATATATAACCCCCCAAAAAAATTAGAATGAACTTTATTCATTGACCTATAAGTGAACTAAATAGAAAACTAGTTGGTGATTTCTGAACTAATTATATTGTCTTATGAATAGGAAGACTGAGGAGTAGTAGTAAAATATATATGGCAGTTTATAACTACTCGGATAGATGAATCTAGGAGGAACTTGAGCTACGTAATGTGAAATTTTAGTTGGTTAGTATTAGAATAGTGAGAATACATATTTTATTTTCACCAATTTATAACCAAGCTGGATGATTATTTTGATGTGTTGAGGAAATAGTTATAGTGTCTGTGTATGTCTATTGTGGTTTTTGTGTTGGGGTGGTGAGTGGTGTCTGTATAAAAATCCAATTAACATATTAAAAAAAATTAGTGGCCTTTGAATTGCTCTGCTTTTAAACATGTTGTTCTGAGAACAACTGTTTTTTAAAAACTTATGAATATTGGAACTACTGTAGAATATTACAGATTGGAATGATGACATAGCAGCCAGATACCTAAACCTTATTTAAATCGAGGTTTTGCTACTGTATCAAATCATGGAGACTTCAAGGGCTCAATGTTTGAGAAAGGAAGGAAATTTTGGAAGGTGGCATATAAATATATCACAAGTATGAGTAAATGAAGACCTACCTCAGTTTGTTCAAGAGGAGGTGCAGATGATAGATAGCTAAGAACTGGAATAGCAAACTGTATGCATTAAGGTATAGGGATAGAATGATCATGATCCCAAGCATTTCCATTCCTAAATATTTGTCATCTGTCTACTGAATAGATCAGCTCTCTTTGGTGCTACCATACTGAAATGTCAGGGTTGCAGAAGATTATTTGATACAAGCTAGGCATACAGGGGACTTACAGGGGAGGCAAATCACGGCCTCCACACTTCCTCCCAGCTCTTTCTTCCCCGCAATTCCATTTTTCACTCTATCTCTTAACAGGTTTTTCAGTGGACTCTATAACATTATACCTCTCTGAAGGTCTTCCCCTTCCCATAGGAATTTCCCAACCCTGTGACATAATATTTGACATGAGCAAAACAACAAAGGGAGTAGAGGAAAATAATGGTGAGGGTAAACAAATTATGCATTCACTTCAGTTACATGTTACTTAAATAAAAGTCTCTGTGTATTTCCTGCTGTTCAGGAAATTGTTCCTTTTTTTAGTCTCTTATGATGGATCCTTCTTTTTTATGACTTTATTTTTTCCTGTGGGCAAATGCTCTTCATCTACATTGAATTGTGGCTAATTGGGGTTTTATGTGCCCATCAAAGGAAAACTCCTAGAGTATAAAAATACACTCACCTTTTATGCTGTGATGAGAACCTACCTGTTTGGCATTCATTACTAGAGTTCTGAAAGTGCAAATTCTTTACAGGAATTAATTACCTGTAGGACAAAGGATGGGGTAGTGAATAATGTCTAAACATGCATTCTAAAGGTGGCATTTGATCCCAAGATATTAACCACCCTTCTTTTCTTCTCTCCCCCAAATGCCAATGATAGAAGAAACACATCTTCTTATGCAAATGTATGATAGGATCATTTGGTTTTGAATTATAATTTAACTTGTCATATGCCATTTTAATTTTTCATCATACATTAGTTTTGAAAAATATGGATATATTTTCTGGAATATTGCCCACACCTAATAGTGTGTGAAATTGTGATATTGACAGTAAGATGTATCTTCCGCTTTATCAGGCTATGGAGATTCATATGTATGCTATCTGTGATAGATGAAAGAAATTATTAGGCATGTGCATACTTGTATGGACCCTCATTCATTCCTACAAGATACATGAGATCTGTATGCAGCCTCTGCATTGATGTCATACCTGTATTTCATGAGAAATGTGGAATGTTATGGCCTGTATGAGAGTGGTACTATTTACACTAGGAAAAGATCCTTGTTATTGTACAATCCAACACCATTACGTTTCATGGAAATGAAAGGGAAACCACATTCAGAGAAGAAGAGATTGGATTTATACCCCTCCCTTCACTACCCAAAGGAGTCTCAGAGCGGCTTACAAACTCCTTTTCCTTCCCCTCCCCTGTGAGGTAGGTGGGGCTAAGAGAGCTCTGACAGAAACTGCTCTTTTTAAAGAAAGCTGTGCCAGAACTATGGCTTGCCCAAGGTCATCCAGCAGGTGCAAGTGGAGGAGTGGGAAATCAAACCCGGTTCTCCCAGATTAGAGTCCGTGCACTTAACCACTACACCAAACTGGCTCTCAGAGGCCGTAAACCTCTGAATACCAGTACCAGGAGGCAACATCAGTCCTCTTTGCCTTGTTGTTGGACCTCCAAAGGAATTGGTTGGCCACTGTATGAGACAGGATGCTGGACTAGATGGACCACTGGTCTGAACCAGCAGGGCTCTTCACATGTTCTTATGAAATAACCATGATTTATAAAGTAATGATTACTACTGAATGTGCTAACAGTGATAAGTACAAACTACAGAATCTTACCATAATTCTATATTATAGTGATATTTTAATGGGCTACACATGGTGGTGTAGCCAACCGTACTAATGCTTGAGTGTTCTTGATGATTAATATGAGCACCCAAGAGAGTTAATCATGATTAGTTTCTTCCAGAAACACAGTCTGTTCTCAAGACTGACTCTAAGGTCTTATTTAAGAAAAGGTCCAAACCACATTGTTTGGGGTTAAATGGATATTAAATATGTAATGAGAAGTAGAAGTTCTTTCAGTAGTGACAGATGGCAATGCAATCATTATTTCTTCAGATTTTGGTGGAAGGTACCGTTGGGGATGGCTTCACTGGAGACATTGGAATTGATGATTTGTCTTTTATGGATTGTACACTTTACTATGGTAAGTAGAAATGTATGTGCAGTCAAGCTGCTATTTGAAATCAACATGTGGATCCCATGCAACTGAGGTTTAGCTCCTTATTCAAGAAAATGAATTGGAGTTAATAGAATTTTCAGGTGCATATGCTCTAGAGGTGCAATGTGGTCTTATTGTGGCCACCCTCCTCTCTACCAGCCACACACTGGCTCTATGGAATCCAAGCCAGATAGTAATAGGAAGACCTGCAAGGTCTCTGGTGGAAAGCCAACCAATAGCAGAGGCTATTGCTATGGGAGCAGAAGAGATAAAGATGTACTGTTGTGGACCACAGAAAAATAGACTCACAGTGGTATCAGTCAAAGTTGTTTGAAGGAAATAGATAAAGGTATAATGCTGCATTGCCTCATGCCTCCTACCTGTACAAATATTCTGATATGCAGTCATTATGCTTAAAACATTTGCTGGTTCTGACAGAGGTCACCATAGAGAACCCTGAGATTGGTAAAAGCTTCAGTTTGCTTAACCTGAGAAGGAAGTATTGACATTAAGAATCACTAATACTAAATCCCCTTAAATTCTAGATTTCCAGTAAGAGGCTTGCTTGTCACTTTGTAAGAACTCTATAACTGTACATGGTTGACTTTATACAGTTAAAGGGGAAAGTGAATTAAATGCAAGGACAAGATAAATTAAGGATTATTCTGTAGTAGCAGAACAAAATTTAAATCCAGTAGTTAGAGACCAACAAAGTTTTCCAGAGTGTAAGCTATCATGAGTCAAAGCTCACTTTGTTGGGTACAAGTAAGAATGAATATCCATCAGTACTTATATCCTGGTCAGAAGGTAGGAGGGGTGTTACCAATAAGGGCCAGTTAGAATCCAGTTGCAGAGGTACAGAGTACAGGCTAACATGTCAACCTGCCTGAAATGAAAGATTATTTTGTCTCCTTGCTTCTGACTGACATGACTAATATGAATCATGGTGAATTCTCAATGTGTTAGGTAGACCAGCCATAGCAGTAATAGCATCCATGCTTTTCAGTGGCATGCAGAAGGACACAGATAGTAGATTCTTGTGTGGGAACTGCAGTGTTGAAGAGTACATCATCAGCTATTTTAGGATGCTTGGTATTGGAATCCCTGGAATATGATCATAATGTTTCCACAACATCAGTGATGGGTGGCTTTCCTACCAGTGGCAAAATTATTTCTGGCATCAGTAGGACCCAACCCCCTTCCCCAGCCATAATTGAAATACCTGTGTCCAGTTTAGAAAAACTTATTATAAATTTAGGAAGAGATATTTTATGCTCAGTTATCAGGCCCAGCAAGAATCTGTAGTGGAGAACCATATCTTGACCTAACTCTGGACATGTGTTTTAATGGTAGCATACCTTGATAGATTTGTAAGTTTTGTTACCGATAGACTTTTGTGTGTCATTGGTTGATGACTGTTATAAGATAAGGCAATTCATATTCATTCATAAGGATGTTACCTTTAAAATAGGAGATTTCTGCTCAGGCTCACTGAATTAGACAGAAGAATAGGGTGCATTTTAACAATTTTAACTAGCATAATAGTTTACATTTACAGTTACAATATGTATCTAATTTTAACTAATGTAATTAATGTAATGTAACCATCGGAACGTCTATTTGATTACTGTGGTTATGATTTTTCTGATATAAGATCATAATAAACTAACTGACTGACCTAACTCTATTTACTTTATATTATTTAACACATCAGTTTTTATTTGAAATATGATATGTTAGAGCTGGTAGGATTTCATAGAGGAGCAGTCATAGAGAGAGGGGGCATTTTAGTATGGGTTAGTGAAGTTTACTTTGCTGACAGACATGAGTGTATCAAAAGAGACAAGAAGTTAGTCAAAGAAAAAAGAAGCAAATGGAAATTGATCATATGGTCTCAGTGGGAAGTGACACATTAATACCATCTATGTATACCATGAAAATTAGACATTTACATTATGGTAAATTTCATATGGTCTGTGGGAAGTGACACACTAATACCATCTATGTATACCACGAAAATTAGACATTTACATTATGGTAAATTAGAAATCTAAAAACAAGGTCATTTATAGGGCAAACCTATACAGAGTTGCTCCATTCTAAGGCCGTTGACATGTATGGAGCTAAACTGGAATATCGCTACATAGGATTTCACTGTTAGATGTATAATAATCTAGGCTAATGTTATATATAATTCTCAAAGTAATATGTGTAATTATTTTGTTACTGATAAACAGCACTGAACTCCTAAAGCTTTAAAATATGACAGAATTGGTTGATATACAAGTACGTCTAGTAAGAAATAAAAATAAGTTTGCAAAGAGTCTGAATTACATAGTCTGAATTACATAGCGGGTTAAGGCTCCTGCTTCCGACCTTCAACGGGGCACCTCTGGTGCCAGCTTAGGAGGTTAGGAGTTTGGGAGTGCTCCTGGACCCCACCTTAACTATGGAGGCCCAGGTGGCGGCCACTGCCAGATCAACCTTTTATCATCTTCGGCTGATATGGCAGTTGGTTCCTTTCCTTGACCGCAATGATCTAGCTACAGACGGTCACCTTGAGGCTAGACTACTGTAATGCTCTCTACATGGGGCTGCCTCTGTCGCAAATCCGGAAGCTGCAGCTGGTGCAGAATGCTGCGGCCAGGCTGTTGGTGGGTGCCCCTAGGTGGGAGCTCACCCGACCTGTACTGAAAGCACTGCACTGGCTGCCTATAGCATACCGGATTCGCTTCAAAGTGCTGGTGCTTACCTTTAAAGCCCTACGTGGCCAGGGTCCGACATACCGTTCCGCAGGGCCTGTAAGATGGAGCTCTTCCGCCAGGCCTTCAAGTAGGAGCCGCCACTGCCACTACCACCACCACCACCATTCCATCATAGAGCGATACCGCCGGAGGGCTGGGTAACATCTATCCACGGCCCTAGCCCTCCCCCTCTGTTATGCACGACATTGGGAGCTTTATGCATGCATCGATGGAATTGAATATTTAACTGTTTTAGTTTTTATATACTATATGCACTTTTGTGCCTGTGTAAGCCGCCCTGAGCCCATTCGCGGGGAGGGCAGGGTATAAATATAACAACATTAATTAATTAATTAATTAATTAATTAAAATACCATTAAGAAGAATTCAGGTGGGTAGCCATGTTGGTCTTAAAGGTGCCACTGGACTCAAACTTTGTTCTTAGAATATCAGTTCCTTACGTATTAAAAACTAAAAAAAAATCTTGTATTTGACATAGAAAAATTACTACCTTTTCTCATATATGAGAAACAAGGGGGCATTTAAGAAACATACATGAGTTAATTGCAACTATTTCTTTTATAAGGAAATTTAATGGCTGATTCCACAACTCCATTGGGAACATCCATTCCTGTAACGCTGCCCATGAACAACTGTACAGAAGAGGAATTCATCTGCAGAGCCACTGGCCAGTGCATAAAGATAATTCAGAGGTGTGATTTCCAACCCGACTGTTCTGACAAATCTGATGAGTCATCTTGTGGTGAGCAAATTATTTGTTACTACTAGTTCAATTACATTGTTTTGATGTACACTTATAGAAAGGGGCATTACCAAGTCATGCCATTAGTCAGTCCAGTTGTCTCCTTGAAATATATTTTGCAATAACAGCTGCATAAAGAACATTCAAGAACATTTCTGAGTGATAGCTGGAGTGCCTCTTCCTGTACTATCTATCCCCCAGTTAAGATCCTCCTGATCAGTCCTGCTTTCTGTGCCCCTGCCTAGAACTGTGGACATAACCATATATCTCGCTATGGGAAAGGAACGGACAGTATATATTAGGAACAGACAGTACAGAACCACTATTATCAGAATTTGATTTCTCAGAGTGCTTAGTTTAAGGTAAAATTCTACCTTGTTGTTGTACTGTTGCTATTAATTTCAACATGGCTTCTACAACACAACTTCCTAGTGTATCATTCCTTTAGATAGATTTGTGAATTTAGCAGCAGAACTGTTGAACTCAGGGGGGAAAGGTTATGTGTAAACTTTCCCCGGTGGGGATGTGAAAGCAACTTAGGGGTGGCAACAAGTTTCACAGGAAAACACCACAAGAAGGAAAGGCCGCTCTTCCTCTGTGCCAGTCTTTTGCATCAAACCGTTTTCATCTATGAGAAATAATGCAGGAGGAATCATCATTGTAACTGCACATAATTTGTAGCTTCAGTGTAGATGTGGCCCTAAACAGTCTTGCTTGTTCTAGATCCTTAATAACCAAATGTTTTGGCTGTCACCCATACTAATTCTAATTAAATTATTTTATAAGCAACATTGGCCAGATAAGTGGCACAGTTTATTGAAGTTGCTTGAAAGCATATACTGAATGAACATTAATGGTGCGAAATAATCCCTGAAGCAGACTGTGATGGCGAGGATTTCTACATAAGAGAAAGTGATCAGGCATCATCCACACTTTAAAAGGCAGCTGAAGAAAAGCTCACGGTGTAGCATTGGCGCTCGGAAGCATTACGGATATTATCTTGTGGGAAATTAGGCAGATGTGTTGGTTATAGTTAACTGCCCCAGACAGTATATTCGTTTATTGCTGTTTTCTGTGCATTGGCAACACGTTTGTTTAGATTTACATGTTGATGCACTTTTGAAGTTGATTGCTTTCAGGAATAATATTAACTGTGGTTAGTCTGGGCAGTCAGCAGTGCAATCCTAAACAGAATTATACCTTTATGAGCCCACTAACTTTCCAAGCCCACTGACTGCACTGCAGGATTCAGCTCACAGACATTCACTCCTAGTTTGCCTTAACAAATGCTGCTTTATTTTCCTTCTGTTTGTAGCAAGAGAAGGCATGACCAGATAATGCCAGGATTAAACCTGAATTAAGCTATCATGTCTGCATTCCAACATCATGTGAAATCATTGTTAACAATAGCTGTGGTTAATAAATCGTCTTGAAGCAATAGCTTCATATCTCAAATTGAAGGACCCCAACTAACTACACTTGTCGTAGTTTAATTGAACCATGTGATGTCTGAGTGAACATGCCATGACTCTGTAAGCACTGGTGAGCATTAGGTTTAATATGTGGATGTTCAAATAATTCCCTAGCCCTGCCATAAGACCACAATGAAAATGGAAGATAATCCTCCCCACAAACCCATAAAAGATTGATATCCATGTTATTTATGTCCTCGTAATGGCTGGCTGTGTCTTCCGCTACTTCTGCTTGACTGCCTTGATCCAGATAATGATTTGTACTTCTGTTTTTCCCCACTCCCATTGCTTCTGTTTGTAAAGTTGGGGACAACCAGTAAGCAAGTCAAAAATAAAACTGTACCATACTGTGAAATAATAACTCCACAATGGAACAGCAGAAGATAGGCTTACTAGGTTCCATCTGGGGTGGGGGATCCTCTGCCCCTAGATTCTGTTTCCTGCAGCCAACTGGAGGGCGGGAGGGCAGGGTAAAAGTCTAATAAATAAATAAATAAATAAATAAATAAAATAAAAATATAGCCATTGGCAACAGTGTGATATCACTTTATTTTTTCTTTAGGAAACTTCTTTATGTCTCACTATAGAGTTGCTCAGGGCTTTTTTTGTAGAAAAAGCCCAGCAGGAACTCATGAGCATAATAGGCCACACCCAACAGCAGAAACTCATTAGCATATTAGGCCACACCCCATGCTTTCCTTTGGCTTGGCTGGATGCCCCACAGCTGCAGGGAGCCTAGGCAAGCCAGTCCTTGGACAGGCCCCCCCTGGCCTGCCCACCTCAGAGTTGCCGGGGGGGCGCTCTCCAGGCCTTTCCTCTGGAGCCATGCACAGAGAGATTTTGGCTGTAGTGGGCGTGGCCAACTCTGAAGCCAACCGGAACTCCGTTCCTGTGTGTTCCTGCCCAAAAATAGCCCTGGAGTTTCTGGCAATTCCTAGAGAGTCATGATATCCCTTCCAGGATGTCATACTGTTGTTGATAGTGCCCCTCATATTCCTATACCTTAGACTGCCACTAGTAACCAGGCCATGCCTGTACTTTTAAGAAATGAGTGCACTCTTAGTGGCCTTTCTGGGGATTGCTAGGTAACCACAACAATACTGCAAGCCTTCAAATTTTGGTTTCTTTGAGTAAAAGACTGGGGAGGAAGCAGGGCCCTCCCCAGGGCTATTTTGGCATCCAATTCCACCCTTGCTTCCTCCTGCCCTCAAGGGAGGAATCATTGGGGCCAGGCTGAGCAATGACCCCCAGGCAACTTGCTACTGTGCAATTTGTGCAACTATGATGGACTGCACTTAAAAACCAGGTTCCTAGTGCAGCAGAATCAGAAATATGGGAGGTGAAGGGTTGACACTTCACTGGAATGGAGACCGTGAGTGACAGGCTGCTCCTTGTCTCTGATCAGCCAGTGCCAGCTGAGAAAAACTATGTAATCAGCTGAGTGCTGAAGAGAGTTCAGTTCAGTTCATTCCATTCCAGAAATTCTGTCAGTTGGAAACAGTCTGAAGGCAGTCAGCTGGTTTCTGACAGAGTTTGGAGTCAGTGATTCTGACAGGAAAAGTTAGACAGGTTCACCTTAGAGTGAAGAAAAATATTTCTTTGCCTTAACTGTTATATTCCTATCCTAAGGAAAAATTACTTAACAGAATTTAGAGACTAAATGTCAGCCTAAACTGAGTACGCTTTACACAGACCTCGTGCGGGGAGGGCGGGGTATAAATGAAATAAAATAACTAAATAAATAAATAAATAAATAAAAAGACACCAAAACTGGGATGGTGATTTGGCAAGAGTGATTGGGTAGTGTGCTGAAACTCCCTTTCAAGCCAAAAGGAACAGGGTTATATCTTCTGTGGAGAAGAAAATTAATTTCTGCCGAGTTTTGCTGGGGTTTTGGCTTTGAGCAGGACCTGGGGTCTGATGTGGGGGGGGGGAATGGTTTTAGACAACTCAGGAGCAGTGTTCCCTCTAAGCTGAGTTAATGTGAGCTAGCCCACAGTTTTTTAGTCTCCAGCTCACACATTTTTATCTTAGCTCAGGAAGTATGGCTTGGGAATAAACTAATTTATGCAGTAGCCAAATTGCTTGCTCACAACTTTAATGTCAATAGCTCACAAAGTACAATTTTTGCTGACAAGACTCCACAGCTTAGAGGGAACATTGCTCAGGAGACAGAAATAAACCATATTTTCAAGAAAGGAGCAACTTAGGTGCTCAAAGAAAGACCAAGAAAACTGCACTGTCATAGGAAACTCTCTGAAGAAACATTGGCTGAGGTCAGACTGGCAGTTTGAAGCGTGAAGGAGTCGTGGCAAAAAAGACCCGGAACAACTTGTTCTGGGTATTCCCAGTCACACTGCACTGACTGATGCGGGAGCATACTGGGGAGGAGGCACAAGGGAGTGTTCACACTGTTGGACCGCCCTGGTGGAGGTGCGGCTGTAAGTGGCTTTTTCTCACTCTGGCGACGTGTGCCTATGCACATAGGCACACAATTATCAATGCAGCTTGTTCGCGTGGATTTTAGCATTTAAACTTCCAGGAAGTGGGATGGATGCGCTCTCCAAGGTTTGCTACCACTTTCACCTGGTATCTTTTAAACTCAGGAGGGAAGCGTTACAAGACGGGTTGAGTACGGCTGGGGAATGCCTGACACATGTGCCTGTGTGAACGGCCCCTTTAATCCGTTTGTGAATCGTTTCTGGCACATGCCCAGGAGTCATTTCCTGCAGGAGCACACAGGAGCAGAGCTCCCGCAGTAAAGAGCCCAGGGGGCGGGCACATGCAACAAGCAGCCCTCAGTCAGAGCAAAAAGCAGCCAGGTAAATTGCAGAGCCCCCCCCTTCGCCCCCCGGCCCAAAACAGTCCAATGGCACCTTTAAGACCAAGTTTTATTCAGGTACAAGCTCTCCCTCTTCTGCGAGGACAGATCTGCACCCCCCCCCAATAGCTAGCAATCCAAACCAGTCCAGTAGAGCCTGAGTGGTGGGTGTTGCCTTCTGACACACTTCTGGTGATGTCAGGGTGTGTGGCATATGCTAATGAGTTATGCTAATGAGCTCCTGCACCTCTTTTTCTACTAAATGACGCCCGCACGTGCCTATATCGGGGCAAACTGCCAGTCTGAACTCAGCCATTGTTGCTGTAACTAATATACTAAGTCAAACATATCTCACTATTAAGAGCCTAGAATATATGCAAGAAAGCTTCAAGATCACTATTTTGCCTGTTAAAAGAAGTTTACTTTAAAATACCAACAAGTTTTACCTCAGTTTTTCCAACCTCTGACTAACCTATTCATCCCCTGCCTGTTAAATAAACTTAAAATTTCAGTTTGAATGTTATTCCATCCCAAGTAACATTTCAAAGGGTAAAACAAAAAGGCTCCTGTTTTCCCCATCAAGTTCCTGGGCTACGCTAAAGCCAAATTATTTTCTGTGTGACAGGTTGGGACAAACAGACTGTCGAAAACACAAATATTAATATGGTGCTTGGGGCTGCTCAGTCACAACAATGAACAAAACTCCCCTGACACAGTGGGGGAGTGACAGGGGTCCATCATAATAACTCACCCAGGTGTGGCAGTTGTGACTAGGATTCAATGCCTGCGTGGCCTGGTCTCAGTGACATCCTCCTCACCAACTTGCATGACATGGCCGAGCCAGGCAGTAACTATTATACATCACCTGAATGACTTGCTACTGCACAACTTTTGCAACTTGGCTGGACTTTTCCCAGGGAGATGTTCCAGTGGGAGAGAAGTAGGGCAAGCTGAGAGACTGTGGTGTAGTGGTTAGCATGTCAAACTAGGATCTGGGAGACCTAGACTCAAATCCCTATTCTTCCTTGGAATCTTGCTGAGCGACCTTGGGCCAGTCACACTCTCTCACAGCATAATCTAACTCACAAGACTGTTGTGAGGATAAAACAGAGGAGGGGAGAATGATGTAAGCTGCTTTGTGTCCCCAGTTGGGAGAAAGGTGGGTTATAAAATGAAGTAAATAATAAAGATGAATATTGTAAGGGCAGACAAAAGAAAAGTTGGTAGCTGAGCTAGAAGGAGAGAAGTAAGCAAGGAAAATGAGGACATGGAGGCTCCCAGGAGGAGAGAAAGAGCAAACAGCATGCAGAAGGGGATGCAGGGCAACATGAAGCGACTCCTGCAAGTTCTTGAGGCTTCCCTGCTTCTAAGAATATATTGACCAAAGTGCTCATGACCAACAACTGTTGCCTGATTTCTGTATAGGTTAACATGGTGTCAATATGCTTTTCTGTTCTTTAAATAGCTTCAGAGGTTTGTGACTTTGATAATCGAAACTCGTGTGAATGGTATCAACCTACAGCCAGAGTGCCAACCATATCTGCAGGCCATATTGCTAATATATTCCAGTGGGGCCTTGGTAAAGGGGCAACCATTCATCCAGGAGAAGAGAATCACAGACCATTGGTTGATCATTCAATGTGAGTAAATTGTCAAAAGTGTATGCTTTCTTTTCGTCTGTACATAATCAGTCACCTGTGACATTGTTTTTAACAGGGAATGTGGACATATTTTGGTTTCTTCAACTGAAGTTGTTAACTAATCCATTGTAAACATGACATAGTGGTGTCTATTCAGTATGCTTTAAATGTTTTAGTTGGATTCAAACAGGAATCTGGTGAAAAGGCATAAATAGAATAAATTGGTAGTATATGCGGATTACTTTTTTAGGTTTGCAGAAAAATCTGAAATCTAAAATAAATACACTGGGGAACTTAAAAAAAACACAAATGACAAAAGGAGTGCTTGTAGCTTTAAGAAACAGATTCCCTCAGTGGATGTTTATTTTATTTTATTGGTAGGCAACAACAACTGGCTTGGTTTCTATCAAGAAAAAGAGAGGAGGAGGGCCTTTTCCAGGGATATTTTGGCCTTTGAAGGAGAACTCATTGGGGTCAGGCCCAGCAGTAGCCACCTAGTGACTTGATAGGATACAACTTGCATGGCTTATCTAGGCCTGGTCACTTCCTACTGTTGAACAGCAACCCTGACATGAATGCAAATCTGGTGTAGTGGTTACAGTTTCAGACTAGGACCTCAAATTCTCATTCTGCTTGAGGAAAGGCAGTCACTGGTGCCTGACCAGGCCAACCCCCATGTGAGGTGAGTCCGACACTGGAGCCCAGCCCTGCCTAGCCCTGTGCAAGATGGTAGCACTCTGGCCTAGCTCTGTGCAAAGTGAGGCAGATGAGTGGTGTCTGGCCCAGCTGAGTCCCACGCTAGAAGAGGCAGATGGCAGCACCATCCAAGCCTGGCACAAGGCAAGCAAGGCAGGTGGTGCCCAACCCAGCTCAGCCCTGTATGAGGCTCACCCCATATGATGCAAGGCAAGGCAGAAGGCAGAGCCTGACCAAGCCCACCTGGCCCAGCTGAGCCCCACATAAAGTGAGGCAAGGCAGAGGGTGGCACCTGGCCCTGCTGAGCCCCAAACAAGGTGAGACAAAGGGCATCACTGAGCCACACATGAAACAAGGGTCCCGGTCACACAGAAGATTTTGGCCCAGGAGAGGGACCGATTGGGGGCGCAGCAAATGGGTGCAATCTCACCGCAACATCTGGGAAGTGGCGCGCACCCGTCCCCGATCCGTCCCTAAACCCAGAAAAGCCACTGCAAAAAAGAACCTCCTACAGAGGAGGACTTACCTGAAGCACCACAGCAAGTGTGGCCGTGAGATCGCCACCACACCTGTCGTCCGGAGCAATCCAGGAGCAATCCAAACTGCGCACGCATACACATGCACAGTTCAACAGCCTCGCTCTCCCTTCAGTAGCTTCCCCCCCCCCCCAGCATCTGATCTTGCTGGGGAGGAACTGCGCAGCAGCTCAGGGGATCTATGTGATCCCGCCGCCGCATGTTTCTTTTGGTGTGGCTTTAAAAAGCCGCACTTTGGTCGTACTTCCCCCCCCCCCGTGTGGCAGGGGCCAAGGTGAAACAAAGCCTGACACCCACATGAGACAATACAGACAGAGGCAGTTAGCTCAGCTGAGCCTCATACAAGGTGAGGTAGAGGGCAGCACCCAGCCTGGCTGAGCCTCGCACAAGGCAAGGGAGAAACTGGTGCCCTGCACAGCCAAGCCCCACACAGATGGTGAGGCAGATGGTTGTGCCCAGCCTGGCTGATCCCCAGGCAAGGGCCATAGTTTTCCTTGGTAGAGTGTGCCAAGGTAGAAAAGGGCAGAAAACTGAAGATGGGGAGGAAATAAAGGTAGGTCAGTTGGCAGATGTGAAGAAGAAATGTAGGCAGGAAAGGAGGAGAGGCTATGGGGGCTTTCAAGGAAGGGAA